AAATATTGAAAGGTGTGAAACCACACTATAGGAATTATCCACAATTTTTGGTTGTGTTAAATAGAGAACATTACATAGCCGCGTGGGGATACGAATTTTTTTCTTCGAGTGCTGAAAGTATCTCTCACTCATTCGCTTCGCTCAATCGTGAGAAATAACTTTCAGCACGAGAAGATGAAATTCGTATCCCCAAGCGGCCACGTCATGTTCTGTTTATTTTTTAGATACTGATGAAATTCCTACATAATTTCAAAAGAACCAGCCGCGCGCCTGAGCGGGAAGCTCTCTTGTAATTGGCTAATCATATTAGTAACCATGGCGACACCAATATCCTCACACGTGAAAGATGAGGGTGGTTTCTTCACTGCGCGCGATGAAGATATGATTTTTTAGTAAAAGGAAAAACCCTGGTATTTCATCAGTATCTATATAATAATAATAATTGTGTATCTGGTAGAAGATCAACTAATTTATGCCATACCGGTAACTTGTCCAAAAAGTTGTATTAGTCTATTAATTTTTATTATTATTTTATTAATATAGTCGGTTACAGGTGAAGTTGTGTGGAGTTACTTTAGGCCCTTGTTCTTAAACTGGCGAGAAATGTTGACTGGTTTCTTCAAAGTCGTTCTGCAAAGAAAAGAATCTGACTTACTACTCTTCACCGCAGAAGCTCTTTAATAAAAGTAGGTCATTTCCGTCTGGTTCTGCACTCTTTGCGTTCAGCGGATATCTACCATAAACCTTCTGCGGGGGAAGGAGGGGAGGAGGGAGAATAACTTGCTGGGTGGGGGTTGTCATCCTTTCCTGCTGGAAACTAAAATATCTAAACTTTACGGCTGGTGAGTCAAAAAATTGACGGCAGAATCATACGCGCAACGTGGACTGACTTCCAGTTATAGTGAATTGAAGCGACGTCAAGTGTTCGTACTCCGGCCGCCTAGGATGTTACTTCATCAAAACCATTTTATGAGAGCAAACTTTCTTGCTCAAGAACACGTCACTTAATCCTGGCACCAGTTCTCGAACCCACTCGGATTGCATTGCCTCGTCCTCGTGAGAATTTTTTTTATTTTTTTTTATTATTTTTTTTTTTAGTTCCCCTCCCCTGACCCCTCGGGTGACATCGATAAGAAAGAGACTCGGTTCTTCCTGGAAGCGTTCCTTTGATTTCCTTCATTTAAAGAAATGCACAGGGGGGCTGTGTGTTCGCCTTCCTTGCCCCTTTGACAGCTTTGCACATTTACATGACAATACACTTCAAGATTCTCGACCCAGATTTTGGACGAGCAACTTTAAATTATTCAAAATGGTGTTCAACCATCCTGAATATATTATTGGATATAAATTTTTGGAGATGTGTTTTGCATCCGTCGCCATTGTCAACATTTAGATTATCGCCATGGTGGATGTAAAGGACTTGAAAAGTGCAAGGCTTATTGCCATAGGCCACATTGTGGTTGGAATATTGCTTATGGTATTCGGAATTGTGGACCGCGTTGAGGGATATTTTTGGACCGGCGAAGGATGTTTTGGAATATGGTGCGGCGTTTGGGTACGTACTAGATAAATGCAATACTATACGCAACGATTCGTCGAGGTTTCGCAGCTTGTGCAGAATAGGGTGGCGAAAGGCAGTGATTTGAAGCATAAAACTGGGTCAACTACCCACTCTTAAGTTCTCGCCCGTTTCAAATTCGATGGATTATAAAGATTCTGATCGGGTGAATTTGGCTGCTCGAATTGAATTGCTTCGGGGATTATCGAAGTGTTGTGCAAAGAATAAATCGAAGATAGTTTTACACCTCCTTCGCCATAAGAAACATGAATTTGAAAAATAATTTTATCGATCCGTAGAAACGAAGTTTATTAAATTATTACATTACTAAATGCAAGTTTGCGTGAAAAACATTTTAACAACTTTTTTGAAGAAAGTTTAAAAAGGGTTGCAGTAAAGTAGAACGCGTCCCCATTCTACGCTTGGAATTACATAATGTAAATCTATCTAGAGTAGAATGTATCTCCAAATAAGATTAATTCAGAATGTCCATAGTTCTAGCTCGTAGAGCGGTATATCGAATTAGGTTATTACAAACTTCTTACAAGTTTACGACAAGTTTGAAATACAATCTAAGTTAGACGCTGCTCGCAGTTAGCTACAACCAGTCTACATTTAAGCGAAAACTAGTAGGAATACAGTTATGCAAAACGAAAAGTATACTAGAATAATATTTTTAAATGCAAAAGGCCTTAACCACAGAATAACTAGTAATTACCGTCGATTACCGCAAGTAAGTGAGAAATTATGTGAACCGCAACAATGCACTGTTACAAGAAAAGAAAGAAGTTTACATGCAGAGAAAAATAATTATTTATTCCTGTGTAAGGAAACATTCTCAATTTATGAAGAGGAAAATGAGAAATAAAACTACTTTAATTTAAAACTATCGTAGCCAGCTAAATAGCGCTATGAATCATAACGCAAATATTAATTTCAATCATAATAGACGATGGAGTTTGTTCCAGGTTTCCAGAAATTATTTGAACATTTCTTGTTTAAGAGTAACATTGGATGTGATTCTTATCAATCAGACTCTTCTTAGAGCCTGCCTCAGTTGTTGTAATGGAGTAAGTTGAAGTTCTTTTCATTCAAATTGAGGTCGTTGTTAGCTTGATTGAGATTTTTATTGCAAGTGCAGGCTTGGACAAAATATTTTGACAACATTTACAGTAACTGAATATGACCAGCTCCCAGTTGACTTGTTAGTTCAGTTGGTAGAGCACTGCACCTGTTGTCATAGTATAGAGTCAATGTCAATCATGAAAACCTATGAGGTCTTTTATAACCATTTTTTTTTTACTATACAACAAATATGCAAGTGCTACACAAAATGAATAAGTGAGCGATGAAAACAAATGACGCAAAACTATTCAAACTAAACTATGCAGATTCCAGTACAATATGTCATATGGCATGTTGCTAGTAAAGCATTCTGGAAGGGATTAAAAATTTCAATATTTTAATTACAGTATACAACACCAGTATCACAGAGGTCATGGGTTCAACTCCTCCAAATATCATTATAACGGCTTAACCTTTAAACTCCCAGAGTGACCAAGACTAAATTTCTCCTTACAATATCAATACAATATCAACCAGATAAGTGATGAGAATAAAAGAAAATGTCAAGTGGAGGATTAGTTGATCCACTACTAAATTCTCTGAACTAAAATTATAAGAATTGTATGGTTGACAGTAAGGAGAATTACAAATTTGATCTGGGAGTTTTAGGGTTAATTGGTGTTTATTACTTCAAAGATCACTTTCATATTCATTTATTAATCTGTAGTTCACATACATAATATTCTTATATTCACAGTCAAGACAACTGTAAAATTAACAAACTACTCTTTGGTCTTCTTGTTTCTTGCCTCCAGATGATTGTCACAGGATCTCTTGGGATTCCAGGTAGTAACAGAGAAAGGAACTCATCAAGCCAAGCTTTTGTAAGTTGTAATCTTTCAAACCTACATGATTATCCTGTTTTTGTGCTTGTATTGAAGGTTTTGGGGATCCACAGTTTTACGTTATGTAGATGCCATTAAATTACACAAAGGGGGAGGAGGGGGGGGTGCATTTATGAATTTTGACACAATGCAGTTTGTCTCAAATATCAGTGAGCTTTACAAACTGAAACATGTCTAAATCCTCTGTGGTTGTGTTGCAGAGCTGCCCATCTGAGTAAATTTTATGGTCTTGGGTATGTCATATCTTCTTTAAAAAGAACTGCAACCATCAATTCATTTGTAATAAAAATGTGGTAGTCCCCTCAAAGCGCATGTGAACCAAATATTAACCCTTTAACTCCCATGAGTGACCAAGACAGAATTTCTCCTTACAATATCAATACAATATCAACCAGATAAGTTATGAGAATAAAGAATAATATCAATTTGGGGATAATTAGTTGATCCAATACTAAATTCTCTGAACTTACATCATAAGAATTGTATGGTTGACAGTAAGGAGAATTACAAATTTGATATGGAAGTTAAAGGGTGAACACTTTGTGGTACATGTATCCTTATTACTCAGGAATAGTACTTTGACTGTAACAACTATTTCTTCTTTATGACCCAGTATTAGCCATTATGCATTGGGTGGCTCTTTTTTTGTAAAGGTTTCCATAAGAAGGAAGCATGTATCGTTTTCCCAAAGCTCGTGAAATACTCACCATCAAGTTAATGGTCACCAATGGTGAATGTCGTGTCCAATGCATCCTGGTAAAAACTGGGTCTTTAATGAATTTTAAAACAACATTGAGAGTTTGAAATTTTTCTAGATCTAATTATTGAAATGTTGTGGTCTTGGTCTTTAACCCTTTAAGGCTTATGCTCTGTTCTATAGTCCTACCCCCTAGCTACTACACATTTTTTTGTGAATTAGTTAGGAGAATCTGGTATTTGATCAAGATAACAACTTCTATGTGATAAGTTTGAGTAAATCATTACCAACTGCTGGATAATGTTTGCTTAGGGATACTATGGGTCTAGAGAAGTTACCAATTATATCACTGCTGGGACTTAACCCTCCAACTTCCATTAGTGACTAAAATGAAAATTTTCCTTTCACTATCAGTACAATATCAAGCAGGCAAATGATGAGAATTTGAAAAAAAGTATTGATTAGAGGATTATTACTTGATTTCTTTTGTGTCTTGATTTCTTCAGGCTGCTGCTTTTATGGGTTGTGCCATCACCTCTGCTGTGTTTGGAGGAATAATAATCATCTGTTTCAGTATTTCTATTGCAATGTATCGTACTTCTCCTTGGTATGAAGATGATTTTTATCAGCGCTACTGGTACAACTATGATGCAGAAATGGCTGTTACAGTAATCACATTGATTCTTGGTATTGTTGAGTTTGGCATTGGAATTTGGGCTGCAGTTCTGTGCTGTAATATGAATGCTTGCCAGTGCTGTGCTGTTCAAGGAGGCCAGGTACTGTATATCTACTGGGTAAATTTTGCTTTGTCTGCTCCTTTGAGTCTGTGTTAGGGCCTTTCCACACTGGCAACAGAGTTGTTTATTTCGACAAATTTTCTATCATGGCCAACATTTTACAAGTGCGGATGGTTTGTCGCGACTTGACAAATTTTGACCAAAGCAGACAAATCTTCAAATGCACTGCTGACAAAATTTGTCTCGGGTAAAATAATTGGCAAAATCAACTGAATAAACAAAACCATGATAAACTTGTCGATCGTTTGTCGTATAAGCTACAACAAACATGTAATTGAACCAAAATCAGTTTACTAGAAAGGCAAAAATTGTCTTCTGCTGCAAAACTTGGATATTCTAAAATTTTAAAACGACTTGGGATAAATCCTGGAAAGCAGAGGTGGAATCCTTTGGCAACTATGCTGGTTGGTCTTATGAACAGATTGATGCTGATGGAATTTGACAGCCTTGAAATTGTTAATGGGGATGCAAGAGATGAGACAAAAACTTTTCATGATGAACTTTGTCCTTTGATCTTGTGGGAACAATTCTAGTTTTGTTCACTAGTGCAGGAAGACCCTGCCTAACAGGCTATCTACCGATCTTGCTCTAGTTTGTTCTAATCAATCATAATTATTATTAGCACTACCATAACTATTACTACCATTTCGACAATAGAATAAGATCATTATTTATCTTCATCAACATCATAGTCATCCTCGTCGTCTTCATTGTTGCTGTCATGGTTGCAGTCAAGGTTATGGTCATGTCATCATCATTGTCATAGTCATCATTATCATCATTATAATGTCATCATGGTTCATTGATTGTGTAGGCACTGCCTGTTTCCTTGTTTCTATGTTTCCTTGTTTATCTCTGTCTGTCTGCTGATCTGTTTCTCCTCACAATGTAATTGTCTTGTGATCCTTAAACAATGAGATCAAACAGCTTTTTTGGGAAGGTTCACAATTATAATCACATAATCAGTACTTTTCTTTCCATTTTTCATTGAAAGCCGTTGTTTCTGATAATTCTTTTCTGTAAGGAAAGTGTGTAACTGTGGTTATCATGGACAATTTGTGTATTCATAAAGCTGTAAAGTTTCATTGTTCATTGTTAACGCTTTTCAGCTGTCAAGGTTTTTGCATTATCAAGTGTCTACATCTGATGATATGTAAACTTACACTTGTAGGCACCCTCAATGGTTTATGTGAGCAACCAAGGCATGGTGTATGGTGCTGGGGGTGCTCCCATGGGAATTCCTGTGCAAACAGCAGGTGGTGTGGTAATGGTTCCAGTATCCTCTTCAGGGGGTGTAGGAGGCCATCCTCAAACAGTTCAAATGCCAGGAGGTGGTGTAATGCAAGTAGTCACTCAGCCACAAATGTACCAAGCCCCTATATCTGGGGCTGTGAGCATGCAGCCTCAAATGATCCAGGTGCCAACATCTGGAGCCGGGGCTGTGAGCATGCAGCCCCAAATGGTCCAGGTACCAACATCTGGAGCTCAGGGAGGTCCAGCTCCAATGGTCCAGGTTCCACCAACAGGAAATCCCCAAGGACCTCCTGAGTTTGTCAGGGTCACCACTGATGGACCAGTGCCAGAAGAGAAGGTACCACTTCCTTAACTAATTGCAGGTTCCAATAGGTGAGTCCAATTAAGTGCTTTGACATAACTTGTAAACTACTCCTTGAATTGTCTTTGCTGAGTTGTCTATTTTCCTTCTGGTGGTGTGGAATCACTCCTGTTAGTAGTTTTAATACTATCACTAAATTATTTGTCTCTCAAAGTGTGAAAAGCCATTTTTGAGACATCTTGCTAGATAGTCTTCTCCACAAAGTTTATTCATGTTCTTGTGTGCGTACAGTGCTTAGAGAGAATTAGTGAAACATCACATCAGCGCACTCTTTACAGGGCTGTGGGGTGGGAATGTTTATAAAGTGGTCAGAATGGTGAGATAATGAGAAAGTCTTAGAGACTTGCTCTCAAACAGGAAATTCCTTTTTTCTTGTAGCTCTTTGTGGAGATCAACGGACAAGCACGGATGATGATGCTCACTATTGTTTAAATGCACCACACGTGGCAAAAGTGACACATGTATTTTGAATGGTCATCTTTGAGTTATTAGACGTAGAGTGAAAAACTGGAAAGTAGATCAGATAGATTGAAAACCATATATGCGGCTGTTTTGATAAAGGTGGTCAGGAAAATAGCATACAAATGCACATAACAAGCCCTAAAGGCATTGTGGGTGCTTTTGGGGCCACGTTTCCGTAACCCTTTAACTCTCAAAAGTGGTCAACATGAAACTTCTCCTTCTATTGTTTTACATTATTCAGCAAACAGATGATGAGAATTTTCAAACTTATCAGGTAGAAGTTGTTATCTTGATCGAACAAAAAATTCTTATTACTAAGTTACAAGGAAATGTTTAACAGCTAGAGGGGAGAAATAACAATCAGATCTTGGGAGTTAAAGGGTTAAACTCAGGATTTCAGGGAAATCTGAGAAAACGTCGCAGTAAGGACGAGGCATTGCAGGTTTGGTTAATTTATTTATTTATTTATTTATTTATTTATCTGACTTCTAAAAATTAATATATTACCAGATACTTAGATTACTCTTCGAGATTGTCGCGTCCTTTTTCTGACAAACTTTTTCAAAACAGCTGTTCACTGCACTGTGTTATTTATCCCCAGCTAATTGATGAATCTTACTAGACTGTAAAACTGGTCGTAATAAAATCTGGAATGCAAAACATTTCCATGAAATAAAGGCATCTCAAAAGCATCTTATCTATTTGCTCATTACTTTTGGTGTAATTTTGTCAACGAACTGATAATAATTTTTTACCGATAAAAATGAAGAATCCAGCATGCAACGTTAGCAGCATTAATAAGACAAAACACATTGTTTAATTGTTGGTATTGGGTAAAACTTTTCAGCTTTTTTCTTTCTTTTTTTTTACAATAGCAATTTAAAACTATGTTATGCCCTTTAAGGGCTCGAAATAAAAAAAAAAACCAAGCCGCCTATTGGCGACTATCAAAGAAAAAAAATGGTCGCCAAATACAAAAATGAAGTCGCCAGATAGTACTAGAACAGAAACTCAGATCAGAGCCCCATTTAATTGGCATAGTTGTTCGGCTTCTGGGACTAAACACGTTGTAAAAATTTTATCCTTCGGTAGCTACTGCATGAGATTCACGCTCCGAACAAGCGTTTTTGAAAGGCTTTAAAACGTTCCTTGTTTGCATACTAACAACGATCTTGCTTCCTGGTTATTTGTAGACTGCAGCAAATTACGAAAATCGCTCAGTGTATCCTCTTGTGATAAATGATTCATGCCTTTCGGTGTAGATTCGTTGCACTTGATCTAGCACATGGTGAAATAAAGCACCTGCTTTGAAAGCCGACTCCTTGCGACAGAATCTGCTACAGAACGCTTTTAAATTCAGCGACCTTTCGACAAAACATTGCGTCCGCGATCACCATGTAGAAGCTGCTATATTGTCGTCTCGGAAGTCGCGATCTTAAGGCGATTTCAAGTTTTAACTTAAAGGTAAACAGACTAAATTTGCATATCCTTTTGCAGAAAAGCAGAAACGAGACTAGGGAAACCGTTTCTCACCTTTAATGTCTTATCAGAGGAACATATTCGCCAAAATGGCGACTAAACGCAAAATTTTAGTCGCTAAGTTAAAAGTTTTAGTCGCATTGGCGACTGTATCGGTCGCAATTTCGAGCCCTGCCTCAGTCATGCAAACTTTATCACTCCGATTAAATCAGTTTTATTGTCCTGGAATTTTTCCATCTTACATTCCGTATTCCTAAGCTCATCCTTTCGTATGCTCATCTCTAACCTCATCCCCATCGTCTTTTTAGACCTCATCCTCATCTCATCATCATTCTTACCCTCATTCTCATTCTGTTCCAACCTTGTCCTCATCCTCACCTTCATTCTCATTGTTATCCTCGTCCCCCTCCTCATCCCTATCTTCATCCCAATGCTCATCCTCATCGTCATCTCATCCTCATGCTTGTCACTATCCTCATCTCGTTCGCATCGTTACCCTTACTCTCATCTTCATCCATCCTTGCCTTCATCCTGATCTTCATCCTTATTCCTATCCTCGTCCACATCCATATTCTTATCTCGTCCTCATTCTCACCCCCTTCCCAATCCTCAACCTCATCTCTTTCTTGTCCGCATCTCCATCTCATCCTCGTACTTATCATCATCCACATCCTCCTCCATGCTTGCGCTCACCCTCACCTTCATTCTCATTTTTATCCTCATTCCCATGCTCACCTCATCCTCGTATTTCTTATAATCCCCATGTCATATTCATCCTTACCCTCATCCTTATCTTTACACTTATTGCTATCTCCAACCTCATCCACATCTACATTCTCATCTCGTCCTTACTCATATCCTCTTCCTCGTTCGTATCATCATTCCAATCCTCACTGTCATCTCATCTTCATCCCCTTCTTATCCTCATTTTTATCCTCATTCCCAGGCTCGTCCCCATACTTATCGTCATCCTCATCCTCATCCCTGCCCTTTTTCTTATCCTCCTCCATCCTTGCCCTCATCCTCGTCTTCATCTTCATTCTTACTCTCATCCCCACGTTAGTCCATATCCACAGGTACATTCTTATCTTATCCTCATCCTTACCCTCATCTTCATCCTCCTCCATCCTTGTCCTTTTCCGCACCTTTATCCTCATTCTCGTTCGTCCTCATTCTTTATTCTCATCTCTCCTAACTCCTATCCTCGTCCTCATCCTTATCATCATCCCAATCCTCATTCTCATCTCATCTTCATCCCCAACTTATCCTCATTCTTATCCTCATTACCAGGCTCATTCCCATCTTATCTTTATACTTATGGTCATCCTCATCACCATCCTTACCCTCACTGTCATCCTCCTCCATACTTGTCCTCATCCTCATCCTCATCTTTATCCTCATTTTATCCTCACCCCCATACACATTCTCACCTCATCGTCATTCCCAAAAATCATCCCCATCCTTATCTCCATCCTTATGCTCCTTCTCAACCTTGTCTTCATCCCCTCCCCCATCGTTATCCTCACCTTTATTCACATCCTAATCCTAAATGTTATCCTCATTTTCAAACTCATACTCATTTTGTTTTTGATTGCATGTCTGCAAAAGGCCATTGTGACATGATTGTGAGATGCTAATTTATATATATTCGGTTCTGCTGGGCATAATTCGGTGATAAAAACAGTAAAATGCAGTATCTTCAAAGATAAGATAGTTCTTTAACACACTGGGCGCATTTATTAGGTTTTTCTGCAAGGATAGTTTTGTTTCCTTATCACGTGTAAGCTAAAGACCGTTGTGAAACAGTCATGATTGACTTCTTTTATTTGGCCAGGATGAAGTGGTTTTCAATGTAGTTTCACGGCAACCACTAAGAAAATTATATCTTAGATTATGACGTAGACTCAAGGCTGTCTCCTAGAAGAATGCCAATAAATAGGGCAAAGAGCAATCAATAGTGGCAGGTGACCCCTCAGTTATATCAGTCAAATACCGGTTAAACACTAAATATAAATCAAGGAGGACTTCGAAAAGCAAAAAAGATATAAAATATCAATAAAGAAAACGGATGGTTGTGAAACATCGAAGCAGAAGCAGAAAGTGAATGAAGCTTCCTCATCTCCCTGCATAGGTTGGGAAAGAGAGAGGTCAAAGAGGTCTTTCCACCCCCACCCCCTCCGTTTTTTTGCGATTTTTGAAAATGTTCCCTGGAACTGCCGAAGGCCTGAGAAGTGAGGGGAAATCAAATTTTGAAGGATATATGGTAATCATACCTCAGCTCTGATCTTTTTCAACCCGTTCCACAGTAGCGTAAAGTACAGGATGGGGTATTAATCAGATGGTAAACATAGTACGACCCACAGTTCCTTACTCGAATAATAACTGAGTAAGTACAACAACTATGATGTCGGAAGCAAACTGTTCTGTTTACTGCGCCTTCAGCCACTGATGGATGAGTGCCGCGCAGCCAACCTGTTTTATACGCATCACATCTCGACATGGGTTGACAAGTAGTCGGCATCTTGGTTCCCGCGTCTCCTTGGAAACGAAACCAGCCAGGACCAAGGTGATTGTCGCATTTTTTGTTTTTGGTGACGTACGTGTTTTTCCTGGTCTTGTCCGTCAATTTTGTGTATCTTCGACATTCTAAGTAATCATTAATTGCAAATTGATTTCTACAAATGCTACCTTTATCTTTTAGACTGTCTTTCAATGGAGTGTCCAGAGAAACCCGGATTACGTTGTTTTGCTTTACCTTGCTCCGTGATTGGTTCAGACAACTCGCAACACTCTCTCAACCAATCAGGAAAAAAAACTAAAACCGACCTTTAAGACGTCCCCTCTTCAAGCAATTTGGTTGTTTTTACTTTGAGTTCTCATTGGCTCTTATAGGTATTTTCTTTTCTCGTGGTTGGCTGTCGTCAGTGATTTTGATTTATTTGGTTTCGGCTTTACGACTCTCAATCCAAAACTGCACATGCTCTAGTACTTTAATTAAGTTAGCTCAAATTTGGTTACTTTTTACTTTAGCATGTGAAAGAACTAAATAAAAACAAGAGGCGAAAAGGGGAGATGTAGCCATTGGAAGAAATATTGATTCTATGAGTTAAACCTTTCCGATGATTATCTTCCTCATATCTTTCTCGTCCGTGATAAAAATAACTCACCTTCAGGTATGCAATTGGTTTTTCCGTCCCCCGTGTATCCATGGTTACAAATGCAATAGTAGGATCCAAATTGATTTACACATGTTGCCACATCCTTGATGCACTCATGGATACCATTTTGGCATTCGTCGACATCTGTAATACAGCATTTAAGGTATTACTACTGTCACCAGAAAAGCACCTCTACGGATATTTCCTGCACTCGTTCAATTTGAAAGAGATTAGACGACTTATGTGGAATTTATTGCTCTTGGATTGACCACGGTTGGTGCCCGGGATTGGTTCAGGTAACCTTCCTTCCCTACTTTTATAATGCACAATTCCTTGTACGAACATAGTTGACAAAATAATGTTGAAATTAACCTGAAGAGATAAGGCGGTTATGGCGCGTTCATTAACATTATCATTTATCTTATTTTAGTTAATTTTGTTTAGGCCAGACGCGTACGACTTAAATTCAATCTAAACTTATCCCACAATCGTTCAGTACTTAAGGAATATCGACTCAGTGAATCGAAGAATGATTAAATACCAACAGAAAACGAGGCTCCTATTCATATCCAGCGTATAAATTAGATATTCTTGTTAGTGACCTTTTAACCCCAAAATTGCGCAAGGTACGCTTGAGCTACCTGTGTTGCTTGTAAATAGAAATTCAATGTAATTTCGCGTTTTCCCGCGGTCTTTCCTCCTCTTTTAACATCTGCAGCCAGTGCACCCTCGGCAATAATATACACATGAGAAGTCTGTGAAAATCGTTGACGCTCTTGATACACTCGTACACTCATACACTCGTCACGTTTAGACAAGTACCAAGAAAATTATATAGGATAATGAATCTGCTAAATTTGATGCGAGGAAAAATTTAGATGGATAGATTTCACTGTACAGTTTTTTTTCCGTAGCCATTAAAAACCTTTCCTTGCAACCGTAGTTTAAGTGTTTGGTCGGTTTTGAGCTCTAACAGAAGGTCTCTTAGAGGGAAACACTTACCCTGAACGAGTGCAGACTAAAGAAAAACAAAATAGAAAGGTTCAAAACGGCACGTGAGTAATTTTATGACAATAAAAGAGACTCCAAATTCAACTTGGTCACAACGTGTGTAAGATGACTCACAAGTCATCAGAGGGCGTTTAGGAACATACGAGACGAGACCAAAACGGAAACAATAGAGGTGCATACATGCATTAGTAAACATGATTATGACAGCGCACGCGCAGCCTAGCGTTACCTTCGCAATGTTCTCCTGTGTATCCAGGTGGACATATACACTTATATCCCTTGTCCGTAAATCCAACCAGGCAAGTTGCGTTGTTGTAGCACTTGTTGAGGTAGCACTTATTCTGGTGGAAAAGAATATAGCTAAAGGTTCTTAAAGCTTTCACGCTGATTATTACAGAATATCTATAATTGCTGAGACACTTTGAACTAACGGCGCATGATGATCAGGTGATTCATTACACGCCTGTAGTTATCGATAGCGATCTATGCCGATGAATCCTACGGGGCACCCAAAGCGATCTTTATTTTTAATTTTTTTTCGATTGCAATGCTCTCAGGCTCCAATTTGAAAAGTTTTGTTATGAATTCTCCCAATCTGGTTCGGTGAGGACTCGCAGAGGGTTTAAGAAAATCGCTTGAAGGGTAATCAAGGCTGAAGAAGAGCAGATAATTCTTACCTCCGTGCCTCTATACATTAAGCCTGCCGTCGGTTTCAGATCATTTGGGTGTTGTAGTTGATCCGAGTCACTCAGCTGGCATATCATTTCATCTTTTTCCCTTGGTACCATGTTAATCGATGTACATTTGTCTTCCATAGTACACCAATTTCTGCAGTGACTATACATTTGTATTCCGACTGATAATGAAATGTTTTTAAAGACGTGGCCTATCAATGCATGTCCATCTATTGGCTCCAGAAACTTGAGACGTCGACAGCCATCTGTAAGTTACAGAGGAGTGGATCGGATCACGTACGCTCAGTGGCGAAGTAAATTACAATTGATCGATAACTTTTTAACCCATGCAGATGAAGTTTCAACTCTAATTCTGTATACCTCTTTACAAGAGGAAAATGATGATGAAAATGCGAGTCTCATTCTCTCATAAAGATGATGACGTTAAAATTTAAAGAGAACGTAAACGAAAAAATAAAATATTTGGTGGTTTTGCACATTAATAAAATGCAAGTGTAACCGTGTTTTCTTTGGACTAATCAAAACAATCCACGGGTTTTTTTTCTCGTGTTATAGTCTGAATCTTCTGGCAACACCTTTGAAGCATTTCTTGAGACTGGCTTTCTTCGTATTCTAGACGATCATTTGAAAGAACAGTCTTATTTTGTAGTGCATGAAGACCGAGTTGAAGTCCAACACTTTGAGAAAATGATATGCAACGATATGTAGTACTTCTCAGACTTTGAATACCAATTGCGTAAGCTAACATTATGATTCATTTTTAAGAAACCAATGAAAAATTCTTGCTGGAACAACTAAAAAACTTTCGTTTCAAATATAATTAGATTTGTTTACTTTTTTGTGTCAAGTTACTAAGGTCTGATGAGGGTCATATCTATTCTGATCAATTATTCATCAGCGTTTTTCTGTAAGCTCGATTGTACAGAGGACAAACATTCGGATTGTTGACAATAACCACGAAAAATAATTTTTTTTCCACTGAATTTTAGCTCTCAATACTTATTTATTGATAGTATAATGATGGAATTGATCTAAATAAATTCTTATATTTAAAAAAACTGCGTGACCGCCTCGAATTGCCTTCAATGTTAATTAACTGTATGTGAATGTATATAGGTTCAGCAACTTTTTCAAATTGGGTTCTGGTATCTTACCATATCGCATATCATCTCTCAGGAGCAAGTGATCATTGACTTTGAAATACATTGTCCTTAAGAATTAATTTGAGAGCCGATACAAGACCTTTAACATCTAGTCAGATTATCATAACAGTTGTCAGCACCTTTGTTGACGAATATATTGCGAAATGCACTGTGAGGGCAAAGTATCTTTCTCAAGAACACAGTGCAAAGGTCGTGCTATTACGGGTACCCGGACATTTCGACCAGGAGTCGAACGCATTGGGCCAAGCCATCTACCAGACATAGAAAAGCAGCCATACCTTAGAGAATCTATAAAAACTCTCTTATAACACGCGAAAAAGAATGTTAAAGTTAACTCACCATGGTTTGCAGCTGTTAAGCTGTAAAACCAGCCTCCGAACAAAAAAAACCGATATAGGAGAGAAAACATGCGGCGGCAGCGCTTCATCTTCAAAGTTTTGTCAGAGAGGAAGTTCTCAGCCTTCTTTTGACGGTAATTCACTTTTTATAGAGACTGTCAAAAGAGTGCGGAAACTGTATCACCCATAAGATGCCTATCTCTCGCAAGGAGCAAAACAGAGAAATTTTATCTCTTATTGTGATTAATTATTAATCCTGAAGCGGATTTTTATGAAGTTCCTCCAATGTCATTTGTGCATATAAATGTTCAGTAAGGAGTCTCTTGTTTTGGCTCTTTACAGAAAACAATAATAAAAACAAAACAAGTTCGAATGAAGTCAAAGTAGTTCCACTGTTTGACAAACAGACTGAATAAAAACTCAGTAAAATCACGGACGGGTTTTAGCGTTTCCTTGTTTAATTGCATAATTGGTCTGCAGGAATAAAAACCATCATTGAAGCTTTAGTTTGTTACTATATTCAATATGAATGCGTTATTGACTGAGTGTAAGTGTACAGCTGGATACTAGCATATAACCGTATTAGGCGACGGTTATCAAAGTCCCGAAATTTTTCCCTTTATTACTGTAATTTTCTCTTCCAAATTGAAGTTTACTTTAGAGACTTGTACACATCAGCAAAAACATTCTCTCAAGAGGAATACGATGAATTTACACAGCATTTGCAAATACCAAAACTTTCAGATGACGATCGGGACAACTTGGAAGGTCCTCTAAGTTATGATGAGTGCAAAAATGTACTAGAATCTTTCCAAAGTGATAAGGCGCCAGGTGAAGACGGGTTCACCGTGGAATTCTATAAATTTTTCTACGACCTATTAGGCGAAAATCTTCTGGCATGCTTAAACGAGGCTTACGAGAAAAATGAACTTACCATCTCGCAAAGAAGGGGCATTATTACTTTATTACCAAAGGAAGACGGCTCTTTACTCGACCTGCATAACTGGAGACCGATAACCCTACTGAATGTCGATCAAAAAATTGCTGCGAAAGCAATAGCTAAAAGATTAGAAACGGTTTTGCCGAACTTAATACACCCAGACCAAACAGGCTTTGTAAATGGACGCTACATTGGGGAAAACATTAGACTTATAAGCGATGTTCTAGACCTAACAAAAGAGCAAAAAATTCCGGGCATTCTTATAGCTCTTGATTTTCGTAAGGCTTTTGATTCTCTCGAATGGCCCTTTATTATGAGAATTTTAGATGCTTTTAATGTTGGTAGCAGCATAAAACGTTGGATAAGTACATTCTATACGAACGTGGAGAGCGCGGTATTAAATAATGGGTACACAACGAATTGGTTCAAACCGTCGAAAGGTGTGAGGCAAGGCTGTCCTCTCTCACCGTATCTGTTCATCCTCTCAGCCGAATTAATGTCCATAAAACTACGCTACGACTCGGGGGTCAAAGGCATTAATTTGTTTGGCAACGAACTTAAACTGTCACAATTTGCAGACGACACAAATCTGTTTTGTGCAGATTTAAATTCCGTGGAAAAAGCTTTAAATACAGTCAATGACTTCGGTAGGATAGCTGGTTTACAGCTAAACATGAAGAAAACAAAAGCGATTTGGCTTGGGAAGTGGGCTAACAATAAAACCAACCCGTTGGGCATGAAGTGGACGCATACCCCGGTTCGGATCTTAGGAATTCACTTCTCGTACGATAAGAAGGGGAATGATGACCTTAACTTTAGCCTGAAATTAAGGAAGCTACAAACAAAATTGGATATGTGGAGTGCTAGAAGCCTCACGCTATTTGGAAGAGTTTTAATAACCAAAACTCTAGGTATCTCACAGATCATTTATTCCGCTTCAAATATTGAAGTCCTGATACAATCGCAGACACGCTGAAAAGAAAGTTGTTTAACTTTATATGGAAAAAGAAGAAGGATAAGATCAAACGAACCGTGCTTTACCAAGATTTAGAGGAAGGTGGGCTACGCATGACAGAGGTAGATCTTATGTTTAAAGCCTTGAGACTTGCATGGATCCCTAGACTTTTGAATGCTGGAGATAAAAATTGGTGCTCTGTGCCAAACCACTATTTCAGGAAAAAGGGGGGCTTAAATTTTCTTCTAAAATGCAACTACGACACAAAGTACTTCCCTCAATTGCCAGCCTTTTATAAGAACATTCTCAAATTCTTTCAAGAATTAAAAATACTTTACGGTTACGACCAGGAAAGTGATGTAGTACTATATAATAATAAAGAAATTCTAGTAGATGAAACACCCGTTTATCTCAGCAACTGGATGGAGAAGGGAATCGTTTCTATTAAAGACTTGTTGAAGGAGGATGGTAGCTATCTCTCATTCCAGGAATTTAAAGGAAAGTTTTCTTGCAAGACAAACTTCCTCCAGTATTTTCAGATTATTAGTGCCATACCTGACCGGCTACGGTCGAAAGCAAGACAAATAGAATCAGTTAATAATCAGTTTTTCACAAGTAACGATCATCTTTTTCACCTCAACGGAAATTTCACGCTCAACCTTGATAAAGCCAAATCAAGGGATTTCTATAATCTTTTAATTGCTAAAATCCACACTGGAGGTCAGGCAGGTCCTAAAAGATGGAGCGAAATACTTTCTTTGAATGATGAAAAATGGGCAAAGATATTTAAGTCAATACGAAAGCTGTGCAAAGAAACAAAACTAAAAGAATTTCAATTTAAGTTTATTCATAGAATCGTGGTGACAAAGAGAGAACTATTCCAATATGGTATTAAAACTGACGAAGAATGCTGCTTTTGTGGGGAAAAAGACTCAATCGATCACACCTTTATTCACTGTCCCTTTACGAAATCATTCATACATAAAGTCATTCGGTGGTTTAACACAACGTACAATTCACAGTTCTCTCCAACTACGGAGGAACTTTTATTCGGAATTACCTCCAACTTAAACGAGAATAGTACCACCAAGAAATTCGACTACGTCACACTATTCATGCGTTGTTATATCTATAGTTGTAAACTTAACAACAAGCCCATTGTCCTCCACGACTTTGTGAATGCAGTTCACCAAAGGGACCTAATTGAAAATACCGTCAATAACTAGCTCCTGACAAATGCGGTTAAAATATCTCAACTCTCTTTAAAAAAATACAAAATAAAATAAAAACAAAATTTAAATAATAAAAAAGTAAATAAATAAAAAACTTAGTGGTACACCTGCCAACAGTGAAACTCTCACCAAAACACTTCAAACAATACTCCTTACGTTCTTTTTCTTTTTTCACTTTTGTTATAGTTCCTCATTTAATGTATCAAAGTCTCAATGCACAAATGTAATTTAGCAGTAATAGCTTTTCAATCAACGTATTGTATTCGGATATGGTAAAGTTATCGTTTTATGTTATTCATATTGTATTATTGAACTTTATTGTAAGTAGACTGACATCTCCCTTTGGAGAGTACGGCGCAATAAAGAGATACTATTGAAAAAAAAAAAAAAAAAAAAAAAAAAAAAATTACCTCTGCTAGATAATGTTTGCTTAGGGATACTATGGGGAGAGGTTACCAGTTATATCACTTCTGGGACTTAACCCTCTAACTTCCATGAGTGACTAAAATGCAATTTCTCCTTTCACTATCAGTTCAATATCAAGCAGGCAAATGATGAGAATTTGAAAAAAAGTATTGATTAGAGGATTGTTACTTGATTTCTTTTGTGTTTTGATTTCTTCAGGCTGCTGCTTTTATGGGTTGTTCCATCACCTCTGCTGTGTTTGGAGGAATAATAATCATCTGTTTGCTTTGTCTGCTCTTTTGAGTCTGTGTCAGGGCCTTTCCACACTGGTGACAAAGTTGTTTATTTAGACAAATGTTTTGTCATCGCCAACATTTTACAAGTGCAGATGGTTTGTCCCGACGTGACAAATTTTGACCAAAGCAGACAAATCTTCAAATGTAGTGCCAAAAAAATTTGTCTCATGTTAAAAATTTGGTAAAATCGACTAAATAAAGAAAACCATGATAAAGTTCTCCATCAATTGTCGTATAAGCTACGCAAGCGTGTAATTGGACGGAAATCAGTTTACTAGAAATTTGCGTAAAATTGTCTTTTGCCGCAAAACTTGGACATTCTAAAATTTTAAAACGACTTAGGATAAATCCAGTTGTTCTGATCAATCATAATTATTATTGGCACTACCATAAGTATTACTACCATTTTCACCATAAAATAAGATCCTTATTTATCTTCATCAACACCATAATCATCATCTTCGTCATTATTGCTGTCATGGTTGCAGTCGTGGTTATGGTCATTTCATCATCATTATCATCATTATCACGTCATCATGGTTCATTGACTGTGTAGGCACTGCCTGTTTCTTTGTCTATGTGTTATCCTCTTTGTCTCTCTGTCTGTCTGCTAATGTCTCTCCTCACAACGTATGTCTTAACCTTTGAACAATGAGACCAAACAGCCTTTTCGGGAAGGTTCATAATTATAATCACACAATCAGTGCTTTTCTTTCCATTTTTCATGGAAAGCCTTTGTTTCTGATAATTCTTTTCTTTGAGGAAACCGTGTAATTGTGGTTATCATGGACAACTTTCCACCAACAGGAAATCCCCAAGGACCCCCTGAGTTTGTCAGGGTCACTACTGATGGACCAGTGCCAGAAGAGAAGGTACCACTTCCTTAACTAATTGCATGTTCCAATAAGTGAGTCCAATTAAGTCCTTTGACATAACCTGTAAACTACTCCTCAAATTGTCTTTGCCGAGTTGTCTACTTTCCCTTTTTTTGCTGATGGGTGTCTAGTGTAGAATCACTCCTGTTAGTAGTTTTAATACTATGACTAACTTATTTGTCTCAAAGTGTGAAAAGCCATTTTTGAGACATCTTGTTAGATAGTCTTCTCCACAAAGTTTATTCATGTTCTTGTGTGCGTACAGTGCTTAGAGAGAATTAGTGAAACATCACACTAGCGCACTCTTTACAGGGCTGTGGGGTGGGAATGTTTATAAGTAGTCAGAATGGTGAGATAATGAGAAAGTCTTAGAGACTTGCTCTCAAACAGGAAATTCCTTTTTTCTAGCAGCTCTTTGTGTAGATCAACAGACAAGCACGGATGATGCTGCTCACTATTGTTTAAATGCACCACACGTGGCAAAAGTTGCACATGTATTTTGAATGGTCATCTTTGAGTTATTAGACGTAGAGTGAAAAACTGGAAAGTAGATCAGATAGATTGAAAACCACATATGTGGCTGTTTCGATAAAGGTGGTCAGGAAAAAGTATACAAATGCACATAAAAAGCCCTAAAGGCATTGTGGGTGCTTTTGGGGCCACGTTTCCTTAATCCTTTAACTTTCAGAAGTGGTCAACATGAAACTTCTCTTTCTAATGTTTTACATTATCCAGCAAACAGATTATGAGAATATTCACACTTATCAGGTAGAAGTTATCTTGATCTAACAGAAAATTCTTCTTATTAATTTACAAGGCAATGTTTAACAGCTAGAGAGGAGAAATAACAATTAGATCTTGGGAGTTGAAGGGTTAATCAGGGAAATCTGAGAAAACCTCACAGTAAGGACGAGGCATTGCTGGTTTGGTTAATCTATTTATTTATTTATCTGACTTCTAAAAATTATATTACGAGATACTCAGATTACTCTTCGAGATTGTCACGTCCTTTTTCTGACAAACTTTCTCAAAACAGCTGTTCGCTGCACAGTGTTATTTATCCCCAGCTATTTGAAGGAATTTTACTAGACCGTAAAACTGGTCGTAATAAAATCTGGAATGCAAAACATTTCCATGAAATAAAGGCATCTCAGAAGCATCTTATCTATTTGCTCGTTACTTTTGGTGTAATTTTGTCAAAGAACTGATGAAATTTTTTACCGATAAAAATGAAGAATCCAGCATGGACATTGAAGCACAAAGGAGGGCCATATAATCACTTGTAACGTTATCTGCACTAGTAGGACAAGACATATTGTTTAATTGTTGGTATTGGGTAAAACTTTTCGGCTTATCATGGGATCTTTCTTTAAAATAGCAACTTAAAACCTAGCACAGGACCTTTCGCGCAAATCACGCAAAATTTCATTCAACCAGGTTTTGCCTCAGTCCAATGAAGAAAATTGTTGAAGTGCAGATGCATGTTGGGAGGTGTATGTTATACCCTTAGTCATGCAAACTTTATCACTCCGATAAAATCAGCTGTCTTGGAATTTTCCCATCTTACATTCCGTATTCCTAAGCTCATCCTCTCGTATGCTCATTTCTAACCTTATCCCCATCGTCTTTTTAGTCCTCATCCTCATCTCATCCTCATCGTTACCCTCATTCTCATTCTGTTCCAACCTTGTCCTCATCCTCGCCTTCATTCTCATTGAGGATATCCTTATCTCATCCTCATTCCCCAAAATATCCCCATCCTTATGCTCCTTCTCAACCTTGTCCTCGTCCCCTTCCCCATCGTTATCCTCACCTTTGTCCACATTTTAATCCTGAACGTTATCCTCATCTCCAAACTCATACTCATTTTGTTTTTGATTGCATGTCTGCGAGAGACCATTGTGACATGATCGTGAGATGCTAATTTATATATTCGGCTCTACAGGGCATAATTCGCTGATAAAAACAGTAAAATGCAGTATCTTCAAAGATAAGATATTTCTTCAATACACTGAGCACATTTATCAGTTTTTCCTGTATGGAAAGTTTTGTTTCCTTATCACGCGTCAGCGAGAGACCATTGTGAAACAATCATGATTGACTTTTTTATTTGGCTGTAATGAAGTGGTTTTCAATGTATTGTAACTGCAACCATTGATAAAATTATATCTTAGATTATGTCGTCAAGATTATCTGCTAGACGAATGCCAATTAATAGGGCAAAGAGCAATCAATAATGGCAAGTGACCACTCAGTTATATCAGTCAAATACCGGTTAAACACTAGATGTAAATCAAGGAAGACTTCGAAAAGCAGAAAAGATATCAAATATCCATAAATAAAATGGACGGTTGTGAAACATTGAAGTAGAAGCGGAAAGTGAATAGAGCTTGCTCATCCTTTTAGTTATTGCCTAACGAGCAACTACGAGGCAAAAACAAGATTATGTATCAAATATGCTTTATGCAAGTGCTTTGCAGAGTCAACAAAACTAGCCCTTCTCAAACAAACGCTGCATGGCGTGTACTTTGTAACTGAGGGAGTGCCGGGTACAAAGCCCACGTTTGAACTTTTAAATGGGACAAAATTGTATTCCCAGCCGACCTTTCTAATGCTGACAGATCAAAGCGACAAGATTCTCACGTAGGACATGTGAACCATAAACCTGGGTAGATGGGCAAACAGTTCTTCGTTAATACCATTCTAAGTGTAGAAAAATGTTCGTTTAATTCTGTGCAACATTTTGCTATGACATGATAGTCATGAAGGAAACATCCTTATTCCAGCAAGCATATCCCAACGCATTGCTATGATCTGATCAATGTAGGATACATACACCAATGCAGCTGATTGGCGCTATATGTCCCCCACTGGGACAATTTGATTAGTACAATCGATACGCCAACGTAGTGGCTACCTGCGTGTTTGTGGACACAACGCAAAACACGAAGACACACCTGACGCTTACAAACTGCTATGAATTTCAATTACAGAGACTGATTATTCAGTTTCCTGTACAAGCAGCAAAACGATCGTATCATAAGCAAGTTCATCATAATCCTAGGATGCCGCATGTTTTGTGAGACTAACCGTCTCTTATAACTTGAGCGAGTGAGACACGGTGCGAACTCCGCTGTTATTGTTGTTACCATTTTTGATAAGTTTGGGGCTTCATTATGCGTGCTGCGAGCTAAATGATAAGTTAAAGCGACTAAGGACTGGTAGCAGAGTATTGTGGGAGGCTGAAGAACAGTACATACTCGTAAGAAGATATTCATGAACAGACAGTACCTCTAAAATTCCAAGTACTTGTCTTTATTTTATTTTTTACTCTATTATTCAAGTTTGGAACTAAGTGAAGCAAGGGCAACATTACCTTTAGGCACGGTACGCACAGGTGGGGAAAGAGAGAGGTCAAAGAGGTCTTACCACCCCCACCCCCTTCTAAATGTCCTCTGCTGAAAGCCTAAGAAGAAAGGGGAAATCAAATTTTGAAAGGTATATGGTAATCATACCTCAGCTCTGATCTTTTTCAATCCGTTCCACAGTAGCGTAAATTACACTCTGGGGTATTAATCAGATGATAAACATAGTACGACCCACAGTTCCTCACTCGAATAATAACTGAGTATTTACAACAACTACGATATCGGAAGCAAACTGTTTTGTTAACTGCGCCTTCAGCCACTGATGGATGAGTGCCGCGCAGCCAACCTGTTTTATACGCATCACATCTCGACATGGGTTGACATTTAGTCGGCATCTTGGTTCCCGCGTCTCCTTGGAAACGAAACCAGCCAGGACCAAGGTGATTGTCGCATTTTTTGTTTTTGGTGACGTATGTGGTTTTCCTGGTCTTGTCCGTCAATTTTGTGTATCTTCGACATTCTAAATAATCATTAATTGCAAATTGATTTCTACAAATGTTTCCTTTATCTTTTAGACTATTTTTCAATGGAGTGTCGAGAGTAACCCGGATTGCATTGCTTTTGCTTTGCCTCGCTCTGTGATTGATTTAGACAACTCGCAACACTCTCAATCAATCAGAGAAAAAAACTAAAACCAACTGAGACTTGGTCACCCTTGCTTCAGGCAATTTGGTTGTTTTTACTTTGAGTTCTCATTAGCTCTTATGCGTATTTTCCTTTCTTTTGATTGGCTGTCGTCGGTGGTTTTGATTACTTTGGTTTTGGCTTTATGACTCTCAATCCAAAACTGCGCATGCTCCAGTGCTTTAATTAAGTTAGCTCAAATTTGGTTAATTTTTTTACTTTAGCATGTGAAAGAACTAATTGAAAACAAGAGGCTAAAAGAGGAGATGCAGTCATTGGAAGAAATACTGATTTTATGAATCAAACGTTTTCGATAATTATCCTCCTCATATTTATCTCGTAAGTGATAAAAAATAACTCACCTTCAGGTATGCAACTGGTTTTTCCGTTCCCCGTGTATCCATGATTACAAATACAATAGTAGGATCCAAGTTGATTTACACATGTTGCCACATCCTTGATGCACTCATGGATACCATTTTGGCATTCGTCGACATCTGTAATACAGCATTTAAGGTATTAATAATGTCACCAGAAAAACACCTCTAACGATATTTCTTGCACTCGTTGAATTTGAAGGAGATCAGACGACTGATGTGGAATTTATTGGTCTTGGATTGACCGCGGTTGTTGCTCGGGATTGGTTCAGCTGACCCGCCTTCCCTATTTTTATAATGCACAATACCCGGTAGGAACAAAGTTGACAAAATAATGTTGAAATTAACCTGAAGAGATAAGGTAGCTATGGTGCGTTTGTTAACATTATTATTTATCTTATTTCATTTCATTTTATTTACGGCACAGGCGATTCGACTGAAATTCGCTCTAAATTTATCCCACAATCGTTCAGTACTTAAGGAATATCGACTCAGTGAACCGAAGCGTGATTAAATACCAACAGACAGTGAGGCTCCCGTTCATATCTAGCGTATAAATTAGATATTCCTGTTAATGACCTTTCAACCCCAAAATTGCACATGGTACGCTTAAGCCACCTGTGTTGCTTGTAAATAAAACTAAAGGTAATTTCGCGTTTTCCTGCGGCCTTTCCTCCTTTTGTAACATCTGTAGCCACTGTACCTCGGTAATAGCAAAGACATGAAAAGTCTGTGAAAACAGTTGACGCTGTTGGTACACTCGTGCACTCGTCACGTTCAGACATGTACCAAAAAATAAAATATGACCATGAATCTGCTGAATTGGATGCCTGGAAAAATTTATATGGATACTGGGATTACATTGTTACCGGTACAGTTTTTTCCCGTGGCCATTAAACCTTTCCTTACAACCGCAGTTTAAGTGTTTGGTCGGTTTTGAGCTGTGCCAGAAGGTCTTCGAGAGGGAAAAAGTTACCCTGAACGAGTGCAGACCAAAGAGGAACAAAATAGGAAGGTTTGAAACGGCTCGTGAGCAATTTCATGACAATAAAAGAGACTCCAAATTCAACTTGTGAAGGAAAATTAAAACTGACAGGGCACAATGTGTTTAAGATGACTCCCAAGTCACTAGACGGCGTTTAGAAGCATACGAGACGAGACCAAAACGGAAACAATAGAGGTGCATACATGCATTAGTAAACATAATTATGACAGCGCAATCGCGCCTTAACCTTACCGTTTTCGCAATGTTGTCCTGTGTATCCAAGAGGACATATACACTTATATCCCTTGTCTGTAAATCCAACCAGGCATGTTGCGTTGTTGTAGCAGTTGTTGCCGTAGCACTTATTCTGGTGGAAAATAATATAGAGCTTAAGGTTCTTAAATTTTTCACGCTGATTATTTCAGAATATCTATAGTTGCTGAACCGCCTTGAGCTAACGGCACATGATGATCAGGTGATTCATTACACGCCTGTAGTTGTTGATAGCGATCTATGCTGATGAATCCTACAGGGCACCCAAAGCGATCTTTTTTTTGTTACTGGTTCGATTGCAATATTCTTAGGCTCTAATTTGAAAAGTTTTATTATGAATTCTCCTGATCTGATTCGGTGAGGACTCGCAGAAGGCTTAGGAAAATCTCTTCAAAGGTAAACAAGGCTGACGAACAGCAAACAATTCTTACCTCCGTTCCTCTATATATTAAGCCTGCCGTCGGTTTCAGATCATTTGGGTGTTGTAATTGGTCCGAGTCACTGAGTTGGCATATAATTTCATTTTTTTCTCGTGGTACCATGTTGATCGATGTACATCTGTCTTCCATAGTACACCAGTTTCTGCAGTGACTATACATATGTATTCCGACTGGTAATGAAATGTTTTTAACGACGTGGCCTATCAGTGCAAATCCATTTATTGGCTCCAGAAACTTGAGACGTCGACAACCATCTGTAAGTTAAACAGGACTGCATAAGATAGGGATCGTATCACTTACGTCCAGCAGCAAAGTAAAAAACAACTACTCAATAATTTTTCAACCCATGCAGTCTTTTTTCGGGTTTGTTTTCATTGTTTTTCGGAAGCACGATCGCATAGATAATGAATCTTGAAACATTTTCCCTAACACTAAAACTCTTAGGAGAAGATATCAAATGGAAAATGTCAAAGCTCTTACAAGCACTTCACTCTAAGAGCTCCCGTGCTGAAATAATTTTTTCAGCGATTTGTTTTTTTACTCGCGCGACTGATTGTACGTCTCCTGCGTCTAATTTTTTCTGCAATAAAATATTTAATTTGTTTCTACATATGTCAAAGTTACTCCGTTCGATCTAACTGCCTTTTCTGGGGAGGTTTTTAGCAATCATTCTGTTCGAGTTCGCAATATCTCATAAAGATGACAACGTTAAAATTAAAGAGAACGTAAACGAAAGAATTAAATATTTTGCGGTTTTGTACATAAATGAAATGCATGTGTAGTGGTGTTTTCTTTGGATTAATCAAAACAATCTACGCGTTTTTCTCAGCTTCAGTTAAAATTTGCAGGCAACACTTTTGAAGCATTTCTTGAACTAGCTTTCCTTGTTTTTAAGAAGATCATTTGAAAGAACAGTCTTATTCAAGTTTTGCAGCGTAGAAGAAAGCCCAACACTTTTTGAAGAAGATATGCAACGATGTATGGTACTTCTCAGACTTTAAATACCAATTGCGTACACTAACATTATTTTATTTTAAGAAATCAATGGAAAATTCTTGCCGAAACAACGAAAAAACTTTCGTTTCTAATATGCCGTGATGGTAATTCCATTTGCTTAATTTTATTTCTCAAGTTACTCAGGTCTGATGAGGGTCAAATCTATTCTGATTAATTATTCATCAGCGTTTTTCTGTAAGCTCGATTGTTTAGGGGACAAACAATTGGATTGTTGACGATAGCCACGAAAAAATTATTTTTTCCACTGAATTTCAGCTCTCAATTCTTATTTATTAATAGTTTAAAGAAGGAATTAATCTAAATAAATTCTTATTTAAAAAAAACAATTGCGAGCTTTCCCTTAATTGCCTTCAGTGTCAATGAACTGCATGTGAATGCATGTAGGTTCAACAACTTTTTCAAATTGGGTTCTGGCATCTTAACATATCGCATATCATCTCTCAGGATCAAGTGATGACTGACTTTGAAATACATTGTCCTAAAGAGCCGTTAGAAGACCTTTGACATCTAGCCAGATTGTCATAACAGTTGCTAACACCTTTGTTAACGAAATGCACTGTGAGGGTAAAGTATCTTTCTCAAGAACATTGTGCAAAGGTCTTGCTAGTACGGGTACCCGCACATTTCGACCAGAAGGCGAACGCATTGGGCCAACGCATCCACCAGACGTAGAAAAAAAGCCATGCCTTAGAGAATCTACGAGAACTTTCAGATAACAAGTGAAAAAGAATGTCAAGGTCTCACCATGGTTTGTAACTGTTAAGCTGTAAAACCAGCCTCCGAAGAAAAAAAGCAGAGATAGATAACAAAACATGGGGCGACAGCGCTTTATCTTCAAAGTTTCGTCAGAATGGAAGTTCTCGGCCTTCTTTTGAAGGTAATTCACTTTTTATAGAGACTTTCAAAAGGGTGCGAAAACTGTATCACCCATCAGGTGCTTTCATCTCATCTGTTACTGTGATTAATTATTAATCCTGAAACGGATGGTTATGAAGTTCCTCCAATGTCATTTGTGCATATAAATGTTTAGTAAGGAGTCCCTTTTTTTGGCTCTTCACAGAAAACAAAACAAGTTCGAATGAAGTCAATACAGTTCCATTGTTTAACAAACAGACTGAATAATAACGCGGTGAAATGACGGACGGGTTTTAATGTTTAATTGCATAATTAGCCCGCAGGAGTAAAAACCATCATTGAACTTTTGTCAGTATATTCAATAGAAATACATTATTGACCAAGTGTAAGGTAAAGAAGGCATGATATTAGCAGTTCTAGTTAGCAGGGATTCTACAGTAGTGTTATTCGTAAACGCAAGGGATCACGGGTGGTCATCTTAGAAGAGAAACGACACAATTAACAGTGGAACCTGTATTAAGCGGAACCGTATTAGGCGGCGGTTATCAAAGTCCCGAAATTGTTTCCCTTAATTATTGTAATTTTCTCTTCCATTAAGTGGTCACCTTTATTAAACATTCGTGTTCACCCTTTAAGCTGAAGTAATAATTTAAGAAGACGCTTTTGTGATACCCTTGTTTCATCGAAATGTTTCCATTACGAGGGAAGGCCATATAAACACCTATAGCTTAGTTTACACCGATAGAATAAAAATTGTTTGATTATTGGTATCGGGCAAATACTTTCATCCCATTATGAGATAATTTTCTACAGTGGCTACTTAAAATCTACATCAGCACAAAAATTTCCCCTTTTTCACAAATCATATAAGATGTCTCTCACCTAGGTTTTAATCAGCCAAACGAATAATTTTTTGGAGTGGAAGAGTACAGATGTATGTTTGGTAGGGGGTATATCGAGGTATATGTGATACCCGTGGTCATGTAAACGTCATTTCTCTGTTAAAATCAGTTGTATTGTCACGGGCACTTCAATCGTGCCACAAATGAATGTAGTCATGTCTCGTGCTTGCAAAGGATGCTGCGTTTTGTACACTCTATTTAAAGGGTTTGTATGGGAACTCAACACTTTTGTTTTGTTTTATTTATTTATTTTTTGTGGGAACTAAACAGTAACAATTTAGTTCTAAGGTAGGACAAGATCGGAAATTTTTTACAGCACGTGTATATGTAGCCTTTTCAATACAAATGGATTTGGCAGTTCCTTTTATTCATGGGGACAGTAATTTTACCACAATTACAGGATGCTGGCTGGGAGGATTAAAGTGCATTAGTCATAGGACATCATTGTCCGTCAAGGACCCTGAATCACCATCAACAGACATCATTTACCTTCATTAAACATCACAAACCGTCATTAGATATCCCTCATCCTTATTAAACATCATAAACCATCCCCAGAATTGATTTGCTGTCATGTACCACGTAATTGTCACTTATCGGTACGCTCTGTTCCGCCTTTTCTGCACATCAGGGACCTTAAACAGTCAGGACGTAAACTTTGAGGAAGACTTCGATTAAAAAATAAATTTTGGCTCGATGTATTTCCGCTTCTTAAGGTGTTACACATTAACTTTAGCATAAAGTGTTAAACAGTTAAATAATTTGCGGTCTTAGAGCACCCAAATTTTGTATGCATGTATGTATGTATGTATGTGTTTTTGCAATATTTAGACAGGCTGACCCAGTTCAGCCTAAAGCTGGTTAAATTGTGGGCCTGTATGAACAATGACAAGATCAGAACACAACACCGGGAACTACGTTCCCTACTCTTTGCAAGAAAAGTGTGGGTTCTTTAATGTCCCCCGCTAAACAATATAAAGTATATGCAGAAGACGGGGCCCACGTTTATCGTTCTTATCTGAGAAGATAAGAATGTCTAACCATTTGCCGATATCAGTGTAAAGGCAGCACATTCTCCTCAGTTATTTTAAGACTATGTGTGTTGTTCCAGTCTGGGACTTGAACCCTCGATCTCCCGCACTGAAGTTCGGCGTTCTACAACGTAAGCGAACGAAGCATTAATTTCACGTTCTTGCTTTGAATAGGACGGCTACGAAATTTAAAGAATTTTAAAAGGTACTTGCTGAGCTATTGTTCTTCCTATGAAATCCTTTGTTTTTCCTCGTCTACGTTGCCGTCGTCGCTGTGGTTTGCTTAAGGTCCCAATCTCCTAACCTGGCCATTCCTCAGTGTGCCCTTAGTGCTACCTTGTCGAAGTGTTTTTTGGACTCTCTGGGAAAGCTTCTTGCATCCACTTAAAATGAGCCGTATTTTTTTTAGAGTAGTCTCACACACACACAATCTAAACGGTGTTGCCCTTTCTGTCTCTTCTTTGGTATGCTTGATTGAGTTCGACCTTAAAGCTTGTTCTCGAGCAGTTACGGTCAAGCCGTCTGTCTATTCTTTTTAAAATATCCATTCCTTAGTCATACTCAGGAATCTTCTTTAGCGACATCTTTGCTGTTTGCTGAAGAAACTGTCAGTGGAGGGCTTTGTCCTTTCACTTTCTGGATTTCTATTCTTTTGTCCCCTTTTGAAATTTCATCACTCTTTAACAATCGCAGCTAGTCGCCTTCTCCTGAAACGTAACTTGAGGCATGAACACCTACATACTTTTTGAGGCAGCCGTATTAGTATTTGTTCTCCCTCCTGGCACTAAATCTCGAAATACTGTTTATAATGGTAATTGAACTCAGTGGAGTGCAATTTGGGCTGAAAACATATGCTTGATTTCATAATCGAACGAGCGCCCAGCGCGAGTTCGATTTGAAATAACATGTAGGATTTCAGACCAAAATTGCACCACACGAGGTTCAATCACCACTTTATTACATCCATTTTGAAATCGCCTAAATAGGACTCGCTTGGTTCAAATATTTCATTGATGCAGTACTGAGCCAGTTTGAAATTAAATTCATCCATTTTGGGAGGGGAGGGGGAATAGGAGTTCTGGAAACAAAAGTTGCAAAATTTGCCACACGATACTCTTTGTCTTCATTGTCCTGCAATGTATCACCAATCAGCTGTTGACACGTCACTCGCCTTTCGCACCACTTGGTCAGTTTAATGAATGAAGGAGAAAGCCCTCACCATTCTCAATCGAAGATTGTTTGTGGGAATTTGCTTAGGGTTAGGCTCTTAAAACACTGAGACATCTGTATCGCTTAAAGACAGTGACCTTCATACTTTCTCAGAGACGGAAGAAAACCAAAATACGGAGAGAAAAACCGAAAGTTACGTATTAAGTGGCTTTGGTAATGGCATTTCTCGCGGCTGAGAACGAAAATCGGCAACTGGAAGATTTGCCACAGGCCGATTGTGGCCGTGTACCTGAAAGATTTCTTCTGTCGGTACGGACCAAGTCAACAACAGAGAATTTTGTGTATTGAAAATTACGCCCATTCTTTTGTTTTTGTAGTGTTTTAACGCATTTTTTCATCTTGAACCTTAGCGCCTACCTGCTTTACGATTTATTCGGGAATTGTCGATCCTTTTACTTTCATTCATTAATAAAATTGACTTTTCATGTCAGTAAAGGGCTGTTGTGTATATATGATAAACAAAATAATATATGATTGCTTGTAGGTATGAAATTTCTCTTCTCGTATTCAACTCGACATCTCACTTGTTGGCTGCGTTCACTCGTGAGCTACCGAGGTAAACACTCGACGAGAAATTCGATATCCACGCGCGCCCATGTATTATTCTTTATATATCATCATGGTTATCAAAGTTTAAAATAACGAAAGTGATAAAGACAGAGATGTGAGTTGTTCTAAGTAAGATGCAGAATTGTCGAGTTCCAAAAGTACGACTGGTGTATTGTGTGTGAACCCTGAACACACAAGAAAACTTGTACAACGTCAAAATAATATCTGAAAGAGAGGTAGTGCATCAAAACGTCAAACAAAGGTAGCAATGCAATGACTTCAGAAGAATTCAAAGATGTGTTTTGATGGTATTTGAGTTATTAGACGTAGAGTGAAAAACTGGAAAGTAGATCAGATAGATTGAAAACCATATATGTATATATGAAAAAAGCATACAAATGCATGCAACAAGCCCTAAAGGCATTTTGGGTCCTTTTCGGGTCACGGTTACTTAATCCTTTAACTCCCAAAAGTAGTCAACATGAAACTTCTTCTTCTGATGTTTTACATTATCCAGCAAACAGATGATGAGAATATTCAAACTTGTCAAGTAGAAGTTGTTATCTTGATCTAACAAAAAACTGTTATTACTTATTTACAAGGAAATGTTTAACAGCTAGAGGGGAGAAATAACAATCAGATCTTGGAAGTTAAAGGGTTAAACTCAGGATTTCAGGGAAATCTGAGAAAACGTCGCAGTAAGGACGAAGCATTGCAGGTTTGATTAATTTACTTATTTATTTGACTTCTAAAAATCAATATATTACCAGAAACCCAGATTACTCTTCGAGATTGTCACGTCCTTTTTTTGACAAACGTTCTTAAAACAGCTGGTCCTACTTTCGACTACTCTTTTCGGTAGTGTTCTTAACTGCGAGGATCTCTTATATTCGTTTCTTCACCGCAGTGCAAATATATGAATTTCATATATCTAAAATCATTATGTGCAAACATGTGGGTTTAATTCAGTGCAACATTTTGCCATGACATGATTGACATGAAGGAAAACATCCTTATTCCATCAAGTATACCCCAATGCAATGCTGTGATCTGATCAGTGAAAGATACATACACAACTGCAGCTGATTGGCGCTATACGTATCCCAATAGGGCAATTTGATTGGTGCAATCGATAAGCTGGGTTATAAACGTAAAATTTAGAAAAATCTCAATACTTCTCACCGAGTGGTTAGCTGCATGTTTGTGGGCAGAATGAAAAAAAGAACACACCTGACGCTTGAGAGGCCGATCATTCAGTTTACTGCAAAAGCAGCAAATTAAAATTATCATATCGATAATCCTAACATGTGGCATGTTTTGTGAGACTAACTGTCTCTTATAATTTGAGTGAATGAGGCTTCGCACGCTTCACACCATTTTTCATAAGTATGGGGCTTCAATGCGCGCTGTTAGTTCAATGTTTGATGTTAAAAGCGACTAGGGACTGGTTTGAGAGATTGTGGGAAGCTTAAAAAGAAGATATTCATGGATAGACAGTACCTCCAAACTCCAAGTGCTTGCCTTTATTTTAATTTGTACTCTATTATTCAAGTTTGAAACTAAGTGAAACTAGTGCAACACTACTTTTAGGCGGGGAGAGCGGGAGGCTAAGGTAGTCTTTTTTTTACGGTTTTTTGTTTGTGTTCTCTGGAACTGTGGAAGGCCTGACAAGTGGGGGGAAATCAAATTTTGAAGGGTATATTGTAATCATAACTCAACTCTGATCTTTTTTAATCCGTTCCACAATAGCCTAAAGTACAGGCTGGGGTATTAATCAGATGATAAACATAGTATGACCCACAATTCCTCACTCGAATAGTAACTGAATGTTTACAACAACTATGATATCGGAAGCAAACTGTTTTGTTAACTGCGCCTTCAGCCACTGATGGATGAGTGCCGCGCAGCCAACCTGTTCCATACGTCTCACATCTCGACATGGGTTGACATACAGTCGGCATCTTTGTTCCCGCATCTCCTTGGAAACGAAACCAGCCGGGACCAAGGTGATTGTCGCATTTTTTGTTTTTGGTGACGTACGTGTTTTTCCTGGTCTTGTCCGTCAATTTTGTGTATCTTCGACATTCTAAATAATCATTAGTGGCAAATTGATTTCCACAAATGCTACCTCCTTATCTTTTAGACGATTTTTGAATGGAGTGTCGAGAGTAACCCGGATTTACCTCGCTCTGTGATTTCTCTCAACCGATCAGAAACAAACCTAAAACCAACCGAAACTTGGTCGCCCGGGCTTCAGGCAGTTTGGTAGTTTTTACTTTGAGTTCTCATCGGCTCTTATATGTGTTTTCCTTTCTTGTGATTGGCTGTCGTCACTGGTTTTGATTACTTTGGTTTTGGCCTCGCGACTCTCAATCTAAAACTGCGCATGCTCCGGTGCTTTAAGTTAGCTCAAATTTGGTTATTTTTTAACTTTAGCACGTGAAAGAACTAAATAAAAACAGGAGGCAAAAAGAGGAGATGCAGTCATTGAAAGAAATATTGATTCTATGAGTTAAACTTTTCCGATAATTATCTTGCTCATATTTTCCTCGTAGGTGACAAAAAATAACTCACCTTCAGGTATGCAACTGGTTTTTCCGTCCCCCGTATATCCATGGTTACAAATACAATAGTAGGATCCGAGTACATTTACACATGTTGCCACATCCCTGATGCACCCATGGATACCATTTAGGCATTCGTCAACATCTGCAATACAGCATTTAAGGTATTAGTAATGTCACCAGAAAAGCGCCTCTATGGTTATTTCCTGCACTCGATAAATTTGGAGGAGATCAGACGACTTATGTGGAATTTATTGGTCTTGGATTGACCACGGTTGGTGCTCTGGATTGGTTCAGCTGACCTTCCTTCCCTATTTTTATAATGCACAATTCACGGTACGAAAAAAGTTGACAAAATAATGTTGAAATTAACCTGAAGAGATAAGGCGGCTATGGCGTGTTTATTAACATTATTATTTATCTTATTTTATTTCATTTTATTTACAGCACACGCGAATGACTGAAATTCAATCTAAATGTATCCCACAATCGTTCAGTACTTAAGGAATATCGACTCAGTGAACCGAAGAGTAATTTTAAAAGTACCAACAGACAATGAGGCCCTCACTCATATCCAGCGTATAAATTAGATATTCCTGTTAATGACCTTTTAACACCAAAATTGCACAAGGTACGCTTGAGCCACCTGTGTTGCTTGTAAATAAAACTAAAGGTAATTTCGCGTTTTCCTGCGGCCTTTCCTCCTTTTTTTAACATCTGCGGCCACTGCATCCTCGGTAATAGTAAACACATGAAAAGTCTGTGAAAATAGTTAAAGCTGTTGGTACACTCGCGCACTCGTCACGTTTAGAGATGTACCAAAAGATAAAATATGACTAAAAAAAAAAAACAAAACAACTTTGGATGGATACTGGGATTTCATTGTTACCGGTACAGTTTTTTCCCGTGGCCATTAAACCTTTCCTTGCAACCGCAGTTTAAGTGTTTGGTCGGTTTTGAGCTCTGCCAGAAAGTCTTCAAGAGGGAAACAGTTCCCCTGAACGAGTGCAGACCAAAGAAGAACAAAATAGGAAGGTTTGAAACGGCTCGTGAGAAATTTTATGACAATGAAAGAGACTCTAAAAGGACACAATGATGACTCACAAGTCACTAGACGGCGTTTAGAAGCATACGAGACGAGACCAAAACGGAAACGATAGAGGTGCATACATGCATTAGTAAACATAATGACATTATGACAGCGCAATCGCACCCTAACCTTACCTTTTTCGCAATGTTCTCCTGTGTATCCAAGTGGACATATACACTTATATTCCTTGTCCGTAAATCTAACCAAGCAAGTTGCCTTGTTGTAGCACTTGTTGAAGTAGCACTTATTCTGGTGGAAAATAATATAGAGCTAAAGGTTCTTTAACTTTTCCCGCTGATTATTTCAGAATATCTATTATTGCTGAGCCTCCTTGAGCTAACGGCACGTGATGATCGAATGATTCATTATACGCCTGTAGTCATTGATAGTGATCTATGCTGACGAATCCTACAGGGCACCCAAAGCGATCTTGTTTTTATTATTGGTTCGATTGCAAAGTTCTCGGGCTCTAATTTGAAAAGTTTTGTTATGAATTCTCCTGATCTGATTCGGTGAGGACTCGCAGAGGGCTTAGGAAAATCTCTTGAAAGGTAAACAACGCTGACGAACAGAAAACAATTTTTACCTCCGTTCCTCTATATATTAAGCCTGCCGTCGGTTTCAGATCATTTGGGTGTTGTAATTGGTCCGAGTCACTCAGCTGGCATATAATTTCATTTTTTTCTCGTGGTACCATGTTGATCGATGTACATCTGTCTTCCATAGTACACCAGTTTCTGCAGTGACTATACATATGCATTCCAACTGGTAATGAAATGTTTTTAATGACGTGGCCTATCAGTGCATATCCATGTATTGGCTCCAGAAACTTGAGACGTCGACAAACTTCTGTAAGTTAGGCAGGAGTGCATAAGATAGGGATCGTATCACTTACGTTCAGCAGCAAAGTAAAAAACAACTAATCAATAGTTTTTCAACCCATGCAGTCTTTTTTGGGGTTTGTTTTCATCGTTTTTCGGAGGCGCGATGGCACAGATAATGAATCTTGAAAAATTTTCATGACTACCTCCTATTGCGATCTTTGGATAGCTAAAACCTTTAGCAGAAGATATCAAATTTTTTGGAAAATGTCAAAGTTCTTACAAGCGCTTCACTTTAAGAGCTGCCGCACTGAAAGCAATTTTTTTCGCGATTTGTTTTTTTACTCGCGCGACTGATTGTACGTCTCCGGCGTCTAATTTTTTCTGCAATGAAATATTTAATTTGTTTTTACATTTGTCAAAGTTGCATCGTTCGATCTAATTGCTTTTTCTGACGAGGTTTTTAGCAATCATTCTGTATACCTTTTTTTTAAAGAGGCAAACGACGAGGAAAAAACGAGTTCCCATTGTCTCATAACGATGACCACGTTAAAATTTAAGAGAACGTAAACACAAAAAATTAAATATTTTGCGGTTTTGCACATTAATGAAATGCACGTGTAGCCGTGTTTTCTTTGGATTAATCAAAACAATCTACGCGTTTTTTTCTCAGCTTCAATCAAAATTTTTAGGTAACACCTTTGAAGAATTTCTTGAACTAACTTTCTTTGTTTTTATGAAGATCATTTGAAAGAATTAACAGTCTTATTCATGTGTTGTAGCGTATGAAGAGCGAGTTAAAGTCCAACACTTTTTGAAGAAGATATGCAACGATGTGTGATGCTTCTCAAACATTGAATACCAAATGCATACAGTAACATTATGATTTATTTAAAGAAATCAATGGAAAATTCTTGCCGGAACAACGAAAAAACTTTCGTTTCAAATATAATTCTATTTGTATTCGTTTCTAATATGCCTGGATGGTAATTCCACCTGTCTAATTTTTTTTTCTCAAGTTACTCAGGTCTGATGAGGGTCTTATCTATTCTGATCAATTATTCATCAGCGTTTTTCTGCAAGCTCGATTGTTTAGAGGAACTAACTGCGAGTTAAAGTCCAACACTTTTTGAAGAAGATATGCAACGATGTGTGATGCTTCTCAAACATTGAATACCAAATGCATACAGTAACATTATGATTTATTTAAAGAAATCAATGGAAAATTCTTGCCGGAACAACGAAAAAACTTTCGTTTCAAATATAATTCTATTTGTATTCGTTTCTAATATGCCTGGATGGTAATTCCACCTGTCTAATTTTTTTTTCTCAAGTTACTCAGGTCTGATGAGGGTCGTATCTATTCTGATCAATTATTCATCAGCGTTTTTCTGCAAGCTCGATTGTTTAGAGGACAAACATTTGGATTGTTGACGATAACCCCGAAAAAATTATTTTTTCCACTGAATTTCAGCTCTCAATTCTTATTTATTGATAGTTTAAAGAAGGAATTAATCTAAATAAATTCTTATTTTAAAAAAAAAAAATTGCGAGCTTTCCCTTAATTGCCTTCAGTGTCAATGAACTGCATGTGAATTTATGTAGGTTCAACAACAACTTTTTCAAATTGGGTTCTGGCATCTTAACATATCGCATATCATCTCTCAGGATCAAGTGATGACTGACTTTGAAATACATTGTCCTAAAGAGCCGTTAGAAGACCTTTAACATCTAGCCAGATTGTCATAACAGTTGCTAGCACCTTTGTTAACGAAATGCAATGTGAGGGTAAAGTATCTTTCTCAAGAACATTGTGCAAAGGTCTTGCTAGTACGGGTACCCGCACATTTCGACCAGAAGTCAAACGCATTGGGCAAACGCATCCACCAAACTTAGAAAAAAAGCCATGCCTTTGAGAATCTATGAAAACTTTCAGATAACGCGTGAAAAAAAAAATGTCAAAGTTAACTCACCATGGTTTGCAACTGTTAAGCTGTAAAACCAGCCTCCGAACAAAAAAAGCAGAGATAGATAACAAAACATGGGGCGACAGCGCTTTATCTTCAAAGTTTCGTCAGAAAGGAAGTTCTCGGCCTTCTTTTGACGGTAATTCACTTTTTATAGAGACTTTCAAAAGGGTGCGAAAACTGTATCACCCATCAGGTGCTTTCATCTCATCTGTTACTGTGATTAATCATTAATCCTGAAACGGATGGTTATGAAATTCCTCCAATGTCATTTGTGCATACAAATGTCTAGTAAGGAGTCCCTTTTTTTGGCTCTTCACAGAAAACAAAACAAGTTCGAATGAAGTCAAAACAGTTCCATTGTTTGACAAAGAGACTGAATAATAACTCGGTGAAATGACGGACGGGTTTTAATGTTTAATTGCATAATTAGCCCGCAGGAGTAAAAACCATCATTGAACTTTTGTCAGTATATTCAATAGAAATACATTATTGACCAAGTGTAAGGTAAAGAAGGAGTGATATTAGCAGTTCGAGTTAGCAGGGATTCTACAGTAGTGTTATTCTTAAACGCAGGGGATCACGGGTGGTCATCTCAGAAGAGAAACGACACAATTTACAGTGGACCCTGTATTAAGCGGAACCGTATTAGACGGCGGTTATCAAAGTCCCGAAATTGTTTCCCTTAATTACTGTAGTTTTCTTTTCCATTAAGTGGTCACCTTTATTAAGCGGTCGCGTTCACCCTTTAAGCTGAGGTAATAATTTAAGGAAGACGCTTCTGTAATATCCTTGTTTCATCGAAATGTTTTAATTACGAGGGAAGGCCATATAAACACCTATAGCTTAATTTACACCTGTAGAATAAAAATTGTTTGATTATTGGTATTGGGCAAAAATCTACATCAGCACAAAAAATTGCCCCTTTTTCACAAATCATATAAGATGTCTCTCAACCAGGTTTTAATCAGCCAAACAAATAATTTTTTCGAGTGGAAGAGTACAGATGTATGTTTGGTAGGGGGTATATCGAGGTATATATGATGTCCGTTAAAATCAGTTGTATTGTCACGGGCACTTCAATCGTGCCACAAATGAATGTTGTCATGTCTCGTGCTTGCAAAGGATGCTGCGTTACGTACACTCTATTTAAGGGGTTTGTGTGGGAACTCAACAATTTTGTTTCGTTTTATTTATTTATTTATTTTTTGTGGGTACTAAACAGCAGCAATTTAGTACTAAGGTAGGGCAAGATCGGACATTTTTTACAGCACGTGTATATGTAGCCTTTTCAATACAAATGGATTTGGCAGTTCCTTTTATTCATGGGGACAGTAATTTTACCACAATTACAGGAAGGGCTGGCTGGGAGGATTAAAGTGCATTAGTCATAGGACATCATTGTCCGTCAAGGACCCTGAATCCCCGTCAACAGACATCATTTACCTTCATTAAACATCACAAACCGTCATTAGATATCCCTCATCCTTACTAAACATCATAAACCATCCCCAGAATTGATTTGCCGTCATGTACCACGTAATTGTCACTTACCGGTACGTTCTGTTCCGCCTTTTCTGCACATCAGAGACCTTAAACAGTCAGGACGTAAACTTTGAGGAAGACTTCGATTAAAAAATAAATTTTGGCTCGATGTATTTCCGCCTCTTAAGGTGTTACACATTAACTTTAGCATAAAGTGTTAAACAGTTAAATAATTTGCGGTCTTAGAGCAGCCAAATTTTGTATGCATGTATGTATGTATGTGTTTTTGCAATATTTAGACAGGCTGACCCAGTTCAGCCTAAAGCTGGTTAAATTGTGGGCCTGTATGAACAGTGACAAGACCAGAACACAACACCGGGAACTACGTTCCCTACTCATTGCAAGAAAAGTGTGGGTTCTTTAATGTCCCCTGCTAAACAATATAATGTGACGATAGGTTTTCTCGCCCAAACTGGAGGACTGACTCTTCGCGGACGGCACAATAGCAACTGGGGGAAATAACTCTGTAGAGACGACTTGGCAGCGAGAACGAAAACTCGTCACGATTTCCTGGTACACGGAGATGTGCTTCGAGCGAGCTTACACGGACGTCAAGGATAAGACAATCTTTGGTTCCACAGTACTTTTATTCTAGGTCAGGCCAACAAGCGACATGACCTCTAGCATACTCTAGTTTGTAATCATCGAAGCTGTACAAGGTACTTGCTTAAGAAGTAATTGGTGCGAAGTGCTATTGTTACACAAATCGCAAGATTTGAATAAGGACACAAAAGAGCGGAAAAAAATCTCTTTGAAGTTAAACGAAAACTACTTAATTATTCCATCTGTTTCTACGACGGAAAGTATCTCAAAATTAAAAAGACGGATGCAATAAACTCTAGGCCATTAAAGTAGGAAACCTAGGTGCGAATTTACAGCTCTGATATAGAAAACAATACCTATCTTAATTGCAGCAGCGCAGCTTTGGAAAGAGAAAACGGAAAGCAATTAAAGTTTCTGCTTATTTACGCAAGATTGGTTTGGAAACCATTGCATGAAAAGAAATTAGATTTACGAGTATAAACTCAGCTGCTATCTACCATGAAAACCAATGTTTCCAGAAAGACCATTAACACTTATATTTACCTTAAAAAACCATGTAATAAATAACAAAAGTGCCGACAAGCAGGTACATATGATGAAAGCGAGTAACAACAAAAATCTATTCAAAAGCTACTGTGGTTTTTATGCATTTTTTGATTTATTGAAACGAAAGGACTTGAAATGGTTAAATGTGAAAGTTTACGAATAAATATGTTCCGAATAACACACACGGGAAAAATCAGTAAATTTTCCCGTAACAATAAAGTATATGCAGGAGACGAGGCCTACGTTTATCGTTCATATCTGAGAAGATAAGAATGTCTAACTATTTGCCGATATCAGTGTAAAGGCAGCACATTCTCCTCAGTTATTTTAAGACTACGAGTGTTGTTCCAGTCTGGGACTTGAACCCTCGATCTCCCGCACTGAAGTTCGGCGTTCTACAACGTAAGCGAACGAAGCAT